CACCCATTTCCTGGCCTAGGATAGGAGCACTTGTTGCTTTAGATGAATGACAAGTGTGGGCCTAGGATTAAGCCTAGGAAGTTTACTTAGATTCATGACAAGTGTAAGACTGACCTTTAATCTTGCAAGTGTGTGTGTGAGAGGTAGTGCAAGAGCACCTAGTGAGTGGAGAATCCCAACACCTTAACTTAGGGTTTTCATTACATTTTATACATGCACCTTTTTCCTCTCAAGAACCCTAACCTAGCCACCATTAGAGGAAAGCTTGACTAGTAGCTTTGACTTCTTTTTAGGTGCCCTTCCATCCACCTTAGACCATAAAGCTTGGAATACAAAAGCGTGCTCTCACTCTCCTCTACATAACCTTAAAAGGAAAACTTAAAATTCTTTTACTTTCCTTGGATTCAAGAGGAATAATCCTCTTGTGAGGTAGGGGGTGTTCTAAATTATTATTCAAGTAAATCATTGTCAATATAGTGATGTATAAATTGTATGCATGTCTAATATTAATTTGAGAAATTGATGATTTAATTGTAGCTTGCATATAATTCACTCTAGACCTTATATATGGAATGATCATGAATTGAACCTTGTTGTATGTTAATTTGGCATGATTTAAATAAGCTTTTAAATCTAGAGAATTAATTAATATAAATTGATTTAAATACGACTTAGTTATGCCATGTTTGAATTCCATTCTAGACTTGAAATATAGCATGACCATGACTTATTCCTTGTTATATATTTAATTGGAATCATTTGGACAACTCATGAAATCTAGAGAAATTACCTAGTTGATCTACTCAATTTCTATCATGTTGATCTTATGATTAATCTTGTAATTCATGGAACTTATTGTGTTTTATCACATATTATGACTTGTTACTCTACTTGTTGATTTTGGAAACTTGGGATATCATCAAGAACTTGACATGGCTAGGACTTGGTTCTAGTACGGGAGATAGAGAGCTCCCTAAACTATAGTGCACATTAGGGGAAAGATACACATGGGTTAATAGCCCTAAAGTGATCTCAAGAGTACGGTTTTAGTCCGGGCGATATCCAAGTATCCACCTTAGTTTGATTTCACTCCTAAATTCCAAAACTTGATAATCTTGTGATATTGCATTTCAATGTGCTATGTTAAAAGTCTCAATGTCAATTTAATAGCATGGACAAAACACTATTAAATTGCAAATTTGTAATAAGTTAATCATATGCATGCTCATTCTATACGAATAAACTTGTTTATTCACCCCAAAGTTACTGGGTGTTTTACAGGTAAAGAAACTTTAGTGTGGGATGCACAACATTCTTAGATTTGCAAGAAATCTTGAAGTATTTTTGGTGACATTGAATATGCACTTGTTAGCATATCATGATCTTTTTGATGTATTGTATAAAAACTTGTATTTGTTATCTAAGCTATGTAATGTGCATTTAAGTACACCTTTTGTTACTCTTTAGATGTGTATTGTAATGAGGCCAAGGGCCAAAGACACTTATATGCCATGTATGCTATTTTACTTTCATAATTGTTTATGGGACTTAAGGAATTTAATGCATGGAAGGGCCATATTTTGTATATGACATGCCATGAGGCCGTAGGCCATTCTAGAACGTCTAAATCATCATTTTACACATGTTTGCATGTTCATATCTTGGAAAATACATTGATTCCAACTTTTGAACTATTTATGGATGATTTATGAAAATACATTGATTCCAACTTTTGAACTATTTAGTCGGCTGATGATTGTCTCGCACCATTCCAGTAGCCATTTTTGTGAGAATTAGAGTTTCAGCCGGCTGATGATTGGGGTTCGGTCGGTTGACCATTGAGTTTCGGTCAGCTGATGATGGAGGTTCAGCTGGCTGATCCTCCCTGAAGCATTGTTTACTTTCAGCATCTCGGACAGAATTTTGGGTCAACTTCAGAGGGTCATACCTTCTCAATTTCTAATCCAAATTAAGTTATTCTTGAGCCTAAACTCAAGAGCTTGAAGTCAAATTTCCAATGATGCCAATTAAACTCAAAAACTCCAACCGTAGTGAGAGTTATACTAGTTTTAGTAAGATAGGGTCATGCTGTCTCTTAAACGGAGGATGCCACTTCGTTCTAAATTCATATCTTTTCCGTTCGGACTCCGAATCAGGTGATTCTTGAGTCCATTTCATTTATTTTTTTGTTTTCTTTCCAATGGTGTGGTTAGTAGTACTCACTTCCATATTGAAAAAGACCGTTTTACCCTTAGGTTCATTTATGTCCGTTTTTAAAACGTCGCTTCTGTATTTGTTTTCTTTAGGTTCCGTGACCTCAATGAGGGTCACATTTGTGTTTTGTAGACATTTAGTATCTCTAGAGACCATTGATTTACCTTTTGCATCTATAGTTTGATTCATCATTTGATTTACATTCAGGTCACCATTAATGCACCGGGTTGAATAAAATTCGGATCGTTACAGGTGGTATCAAATTCGGGTCGTTACAGAATCATTAGCTTAATTCAACCAACCAAACCTCTCTTTGATCATTCGACCTACTAACTTGAATTTAATTCCATAGTACCTTGTAAATCCCTTCGGACAATCCTTGCTCACTTTGTGCTACGTTAGTAGTATAAGTAGTAGTGGTTTTTATAAATTTAAACTTGACCTTAAAGGTTACTTGAACCACTGTCCCACATTTTGGCATATGCAAGCGACCTTACCAGCATTTATGAGTATGCCATGATAGTATTTGGACCTTAGGGCATGACCTATGTGGATAACATTGGCTTATGTGCGCTTGTGAAGTGTAATTTGTATATATATTGGTACATGCTTATGTTATGGAATTTGATTATGATTTTGGGGATATTCTCGGGGATTATTGTATGGTTTGATCAGTGACAGCTAGGGCTTGGCACTAGCAGGCGAGCTCAGGCTCTCTAACTTTATAATGGCTATTAGGATTGTTCCCTATGGTTTAGTAGACCGAAAATATCACTTTAGACGGTTGGTTATCGGTAGTTTTATTCTGAAAAAACCACTTTTACCGGTTCATGCAATATGCATGACTGGGGGTGTGTGTGTATCGAGATATCCCTCTCATTTATGATTTCGAATCTATTTTTAAGTTGACATCCTTGTGTAGTTGCAACTTGGTTTATTGTTATTGTTTCCAATTCTGATTTTTGTTGGAAGTTATTATCCATATGTAGTTGCAACTTGAATACTTATTTTATTTCATTTGCTACGTATATGCTTACTAGAAATGGAATGGATGGTGCATTGTATATAAAGGTTTATAGAATGAAATTGATATACCTAAGTGCATTTGGTAGCTTAGGATGATGCTTTTAGGAACGTCTCGGAAATAGATGTTAGGGAATGTGTCTCTTTGCATTGTTGATACGTGTTATTCTTGTGAGGCCAAAGAAATGTAGTATGGGTATGTACCTAGAATATTTCGTACTGAGCATTATAAGCACACCCCTCGTTGATTCCATTTTCAGGTTGAAGTAAGGCTTTTGAGGATGATGCTTCCTTTTTTACTTGTTTTATGATGTAATTGGGTATATATGTATTTTGTCGTGATTTCATGTTGTAGCCATTTTGGGTATTTTAATTCGAATTGAGCTAACATGTATTTTTGGGAAATGTGGTTATGAGTATGTGGTATGATATGGAAAAATTATATTTGATATTGGGAGAAAATCATGTAATGAGATCATAAGGCCACTTTTATTTCAAATGAGTATTGCTTCCATCTTATTTTGTTCATTTAAGGATGTATGTTGCAGACACATACATTTGTACATACCTTATTTCATCACTTGGGAGGTTCGAGATTTATTTTGGGATCATATATAGGCATCTGAATGATTTAGGGTGGCCATGGAAATTTCTGTAGGGTCATTTTTCCATTCTATTTTGGTTGGGATTTATCTTTAGTTCGTTGGGATTGATCACATATTGTGTCCTGTAGAGATTGATCTTAGGTTCAGTGAGATCGATCTCCTACACTTTTCTCAACACTGCAGAGTTAATTTTAAATGGTCGTATTTTGCTCATCTTAAATCCAAATTAGGTTATTCTTAAGTCCAAATTGACTGTCTTGAAACAAGCTTTCCAATGGCACCGATCGCACTCCAAAATTCCAACCTTGGAGTGTGTTATGATCCTTTTTGTGAGACAGGCTCGTGAAATCTTTTAGTATGAGGATGCCTTTTATAACCAATCCATTCATTTAATGTTTGGGACCTCATATAATGTTATTATATGATTGGTTTGGTGTCAGTACTTAATTTACTCCTTTAGTTTTAATGAGCATGCTTTGCCTTATTGGGTTTTGCCATATTAATTTTATAATTTTGAAAATGAAAGCTTGGGCTAAATAGGACTAAGCAAAGTAAAACAAGAAAGAGGATCTCATAATTCATGACAAATAACATCATTCAATGTGTAAAAAAATATAGGATGTATTTAGTTTGTCAATAACTCAAAAAATTAAAAATTATAACAAAATAGATTTTTTTATAATTAAATTTTCAAAAAATAGAACTAAGTCTACCATCAATTACCAAAACTTTAGACATTTACGACATTCCTATAAACAAAAATTGAACTACTTATGGGTTATAGGTTTGAGAGCCATTTTAGTTGTTTTGCATTTCCAAGGTTATACAAAATTTAATTAATGTTTTTATTGTGCTGTAATTTATTTTGAAGCAAAAAACATATTTGATAATTAAAATTTGTTGTACAATGTTTTAAAACAAAATAATAATAATAATAATGATAATAATAATAGTTGGAAATATTTGGATGATTGTAAATATTATATTTATTTGTATTGGTTTTTTTAAAAAAAATTCTTGCTACGATAAAAAAACAAGTAAAAAATAATTTTTTCTCATTTTCAAAATTGAGAATATGTTTCACCACTTCTTTTTATTTTTCATGAGCTTGGTAAACACACGAAAAATAGGTGTCATGAATGGCACACAAGAAGGGTCCCCATAAGCTGCAACTTGTAAGTGTAGCCTCGTCTAAAACCCTACACTAAAGCCTCTCTCTTCCTCTTCCCGACTCTCTGTCCCTCTTCCACATTTCAAACCCTCCAAATATGTTTTCTGCAACTAATCAGCAACATTCACAATAATGCCATTGAACCCATTGTAGATCTTCTTCTGTTATCTCCCTAAACAATCGTTCTATTGAGATTGTTCTCCATGTCGGCCCTGTCGAGAGGCCTCATTTCTCGCCTCCGTCTACTCTCAGTCGGTGTGAGAGCACCTCCAACAAATGTTTCAACATTCCAATTCAGAAGATACAGTGATGTGTCTTCGACCGATGAGTATGATACCAACGTTGTACAGCCTCGAATCATTGAAGCTAAACCTGGAATCATGACCCCCAATTCAAAGAGAACTGGTGCCATAGCCGTCAAGTGTGGAATGACCGCACTTTGGGACAAATGGGGTGCTAGGGTTCCGATCACCGTACTCTGGATGGACGATAATATTGTATCTCAGGTTAAGACCTTCGAGAAAGAAGGAATCAGTTCCCTGCAGGTACTTGTCTGGTTCCATTTGCGGTTAAAATATTACACACACACACGCACACACACACGCACATGTTATGATGTGATTTTTAATGGGTTTGTGTGAATTCTGGATTGATGTTGTGTCGTGGTATATGATAGCTTGGTTGTGGGCACAAAAAGGAAAAACACTTAACGAAACCAGAAGTGGGGCATTTTAGAGCTCAGGGTGTTCCAATGAAGAGGAAATTGAGGGAGTTCCCGGTGACTGAGGATGCGCTTCTTCCTGTTGGTACCTCAATTGGCGTTCGCCATTTTGTTCCGGGACAGTATGTAGATGTGACGGGAATTACAAGAGGAAAAGGTTTTCAGGTGATGCAGTTACCTTTTGTTAACTATACACTTTCTTGTGTTGTTCATTATTGTATAAGTGATTGATTGGCTCCTGCTTGTTTTAATCCCCTTTAAAAGATATTATATCGGCACACAGTTTATCCTCTTTGGTTTTATTCAAACTCTATAAAGAGTGGTGCTTTCAAAAGTTCATCTATAATACTCATGCTTTTGTTATTGGCACCAAATGATTGTATGATGTACTGGGATTTTTTGCAAAAGGCTCATCAATTATCACAGCTGCCTATCATCATTGATACTGAGTGGGTAGAATTGAAAGAGGGCTGTTATTCTGGATGGGGGATTGACTTGAATATATTTTCTTGAAATTTGTAAGGGATTTATCCTTGTTCATTTGGGGCCTCTATTCAGACATAATTCGACGATAATGTATCGAGTATTGGTAATTGTAGAGAAAGAGAAAACATAAACGAAATGGGGTGCACAAATATATATATATATATATATATATATATATATGGTGTTTGTTCTGTTTCTACTGGAGGTGAGCCGTTTTCTTAACATTTTTATATTTGGAGAAATTCTTTGCGAATAATGAGTGAATGCATTTGATGGAATAATTTAGGAGTATGGTTGGGAGCCCAATAAGTGTTGAGCATATTACTGGATGGTTTCTCACTAGTCAATGCTGTGTCAACCTCATGAATTGCCAAAGCTAGCTACTTGTTTGAATCTGTGTACCTTCAATCAATCAGATGACCAGTTTATTTTAACTAAGTTTATAGTCTATCTTTATCGAGGATTTCGAGCTCTTATCTTTTTGAAGATATATCTCTTAAATGTTTTACTGAACCAAATTAGTAGTGGCCACCGCGTCAACATTGAAATTTGACTCCGGCACCTTATGATATAGACAATGCAATTCCTTTACTTAAGATTGAAAACTGTGAAGTAAAGTTCGGGAGGGGGTAAAACAGCTTACATAGGAACTCAGAGTCTTTGAATACCTGGTACTAAATGAAAGTTCTAGATCTCCCATTTTGTAACTGCTTACCAAACTTATGATTTCTCTAGGTTTTCAAGCTTTAGGGAGATTGATTTTTAGAGAGGGTAAAAGTATGTCTTACATTGAGTTGTCCATTGGGAACTAAATCAGTTCAAGAGTCTTTGCCATAAGTGACTCTGCCTTAATCAAGTTACTTGATGCTATTGAAAGGATCTTGAAATAATTAATGCCGTGATTTATAGTTTGCAAAAAGGGAAATTTCTAGTTAGTATTGAGAGATTCTCTTTTGCTCTGTTTGGTTAGATGGAAATAAGCAAGAAAAGAAAAGAAATGGAAAATGAAAGAAAAGTGAAGTGAATGAAAAGAAAGTTATTTTCTAGCATACATTTGGTTAGCATGAAAATTTATTAAAGAAAATTGTAGGAAAATATTAGTTTGTTATTTTAGATAGCATGAAAGTGAAAAGAAATTGATTGAACATACCAAAATTACCCCTGTGATTTCAAATACTAACAAATAAATGAATTTGTATCTGATGATGTCTATTTTTAGCAAAGAAATAGTAAAATGATGGATTATTAAATTTAATAATATAATTATTTATATTTAAAATAAGACCTCATAATAATTTCTTAGGAAAAAAAAAAAAAAACCGAGATGAAGAAGCTGATAACAATACTAATTTTTGAGAGAGATTTGATTATATGTTGTTGTTGCCAATTATATATGAACTTATAGAAAAATGAAGAAAGAGTTGTTCTGCACGATTAAGGTAATGGGTAAAATAGGAATGTCAAATAATTACTTATATATATAAAAAAAAAGGAATGTCAAATAATTAGACACCCCTTTCATGCAAAAATATTATTTCCCTATGTGTTTTGTGCAGGAAAAGCTTTTGAAGAAAATAGGCAAGTATGGGGACACAAAATTTTCTATTACGTTTCTTTTTCCATCTATCCAAACTCCTAGAAAATTTAAAAAATTTCTTTTTCCTTTCTTTTCTAGTTGATTCCATCTAACCAAACGAAGCCTTTGAGAATCTTGACATTAGATTTTACGGATATTTATTTCCTACCAACAAATAATTGTGGGCTTTGTCACTTCGAAACCCTTGATTCGCAGGGCTGCAAAGAACTTCAATCACTGCCCTAGTTTCCTCCTTAATTTTTTTTTTTTTTTTGATAGGTAAGATTTCATTAAAGGCGCTCAAAAGGGGAGCACTCCCAACGGAATACAAAGAAGCCTAAAAAGGCACTATAATTTCAAGCTATGCACAAAATCCAAAAGGTGCTCCAAAGATTTACACTTTGCTCCACTGACCCAAAAAAATAGAGTGGAAACAATATTGTATTTGAGAGACCAAATAGGGGACTCCTATCCATCAAAGGATCTTGTATTCTCTCATGCCACTGACCTCACCATAAACAAAGGGGTGTGGCTCTCCACGTATCCCTGGCTCGGCTCTCTACTATACACCCTCTCCAAGCCTCTAACATATCAACCCTGGACTCAGAAAACACCCAAGCCATGCCAAAAACAATCAAGAAGAAGGACCAAACATCCCTTGCCACTGGACATAAGGAGAAGGTGTTTCACCGATTCCTCCGTCTTTTTGCACATACAACACCAGTTCACGACTATCTGGCTTTTCCATAAGTTGTCAAGAGTGAGAATGCTACCAAGGGTAGCTGTCCAAGGGAAGAACACCACCTTCAATGGGGCTTCGTCTTAATAGTTTCCTCCTAATTTAACTAGTTCGCATGTCCCATGTAAAGAAATGGAGGCTTTTCCAAGTCTTCACAACCTGATGAGTTCGAAGAAATTGTACTTAAAAGAGTGTCCAAATCTTTTGGAGGTTGAGGTATGGAAATTATTGAAATTGCATTCATTATTAGGGGTGATTTGAAGTGCCTTAGCATATAAACTGATATTGAATTGACTTATTAAAAAAAAAAAAAAAAAAAACTGATATTGAATTGACATCAGAACTTTGATGTAGCCTTTATTTGAATTGAAGTGGAATTGTTAATTTACAATTTGTTTGTTTGGTTTTTTTTTTTATAATAAAAGGGGGACTGAAAGCGCCTTAGTATTGTTAGTGTACGCAGATTTAGAGTTGTTTTTTTAATGGTTCGTATAATTAGTGGTTATGATTTTGGCTGGTCCCATAGCTAAATGTATTTACTGTGATGTTATATCAATAAGCTATGTGAATCCTTCGATTCTTGAATGGCGTAGCCTGTGCTACTTCGTTATAAATGGCTAGCTTTGGTCACTCCTTGTTGTGAAACAAACTAGGTGAGATTAAATTTTTGCAATAGCCATGTTTGACATCTTTGAGTGGGAGAGATCTGGTAGAATTAGAAGTCTAAGGATAGATTGGGCAGGCATTTTTATATGAATAATTCATGAGAATTGAGTTATAACTTGGGTTTTAGCAAGGAGGGATAGTGTAGTAGTTAGGAAGTCCTTGCACTTTTGATTACTGATACAAGCTGGTTTGAATTCAAAATTTATCTCCCTGTTCCAGATCATGGAAAGAATACTTAATGAGGACTTTAGAGGCCTTAAGGCAGCATACATTCTTGGGAATGGTTAGGGTGGATCTGTAACTCTATAGGAGATAGCATGGAGATTGAAAAAAAAAAAAAATAGTATGGATGTAATAACTTGAGGAATAGTAGCAGAATGAGCCTTATTGACAAATGCCTAGCTGTATATATGTTGGGAAGTCTACTGAGACTTGACAATAAATGGGTTGTTTTCAGTAAGTTATGACTCTTATCTACTATCATCTGTTTGTTTTGTGGGGTATTAATTCATGAAACATGAATTTTTTTTCCTTCAAATCATGCTGATTTGTATAAGAGATCATTTTTGGTGATGTAATTATGCTTAAGAGACTTCCTTTCGATTTGTAGTTATGCTGATTTGATAGACTATAATGTGATAAGTTTGATGATGTACCTCAAATACAACTTTGTGAAAGATATAGAGCATTTATGTTCATTAGATTTTGGATGAACTTTATATATCAAATAAGAAAAAGAGTACGCAGACTGATGGAGGTTTAGAGTTCCTATGACACACTATAGACTACAAATTTTGAGGATGAAATTTATTTTTTAAGATGGGTAGTAAGTAATACCCTGAAATTTGCAAAAATTTCTTTTGACGTGGTAGTGGAGTAACAGGAAAATGTTTTATGAGTTCATGTGTAGCTCCCAGGACATTGGTTTGCTTATTTCTTTTTTTATAATTTATTATTAAAGTGACAATTGTTTAGATATGCAAGACAATAGCATGCACTGGAATTATTAACCACATATAGCACTCCTAGAGACATTTGTTGCAAATGTTTGCTGACCCATATATCACTTAAGAGAGTTAATTGACCAGGCATAACCCCCTTGTAGTCTTACATGAGAGGCTTAAGTTTATGAGTGACACCTGGACAGGTGGACTCCACCCATGAGAAGTATGTATTTATATCATAAAGAGAAAAAGGAGTCATGTGTAAGGGCTTTAGACATGCATCGGCTATAGTATTTACCTTTGTTTTTATTAACTAAGCAGTTGGGCCTGCAAATAAAGAGAAGATGTGAGTTTGAAAATAAAATAGAAAGGAAGAAAGGTGGGTAGATTCTAGGGTGACAAGTGTTACAAGCAAAAGGAAAAAAAAAAAAAATTAATAGTGAATAGATTATGTGTCACCTGTCACACCTAGAACTTGTGGAAAGTCTCCTCCCCTTTGCATGTTCTACATGTAGCATATCTATATGATATGGTATAGACACATGTACTAGCATAATTATTGTTATTGTTATTGTTATTGAATTGCTAAAGCTTACAAGGGAAGCTTTCCTAACCATCTGTACTTAAGTAAAATATTTGAAGAAAGAAGGCAAATCCCAGAAAGGTAGTGTGGGGGCAGAAAATACCCACCAATTGAAGTACAGCACTTGTACAAGTCATTCAATGCGTGTCTAGAATCAAGGCCCATATGGTTGATTAATGAGTTTTGCCCAAGCTAGGGAGTGGGTCGATCGGCCCAGAAATATAGTCCAAGCCCAAACAAAAGTCCAAGGACGGAACTAGGGATTTACCTGTATATAAAGGGATTTAAACCCTCAATGAGAGGGAGGGAGGACGCCTCTAAAAATAATTCAAAGGCCCCCCAAAAAAGGGATACGATACCCCTCTTCAGTAATACGTTTCGACCTGATTCTCGATTGCCTCATGGAGTTGGGCTACATAGGCAATCTAGCCTATCTAGGTGATCCTAGCGGTCACACCATCAAAAGGATCAATTATATTCTGAGCAATTCACTCTTCCTTTCTTCTGAGATATCTATTTTTGTAAGGATTTCTATTTTTTCGACTATGGAGTGATGGTTCTAGAAGCTCTATTTGGCTAGAGTGGTCAATGGAATTTCTTGTACCTACAGGCAGGTTTCCATTCTTTTATTTTATTTAAAGACTTTGTTCTCAGATATCAAAAATTGAAATATGATTGTTGCTTTGTGAAAATATTGATTTAGTTCTGAAATCCCTTTGCTAAGGATCTGAAAATTTTGTTTAACCATGAATACAGTATTGTTGTCGAAATTTGAGCTAAACACTAGGGCTTCAGACTGCTATTTACATTACTTATCTTTGTTTCTGTCTTTGAAATTTTGAGATATTGAAATATTCTGAAAAGAAAACTTGTGGAATTTTGTTTGATATAATTTCATTGAGTATCGAATAATCCATGGATTTTTGAAGTTAAGAAAAAATTCTGCTGTGTAAACTATTCAGGGCAGAATTTATCCACAGTTTTGTGATATTTTATGACTTGATTCACGTGTGTTTCCAGTAATTTTATTTGCTAGAAATATAGTGTACTCATTTAGTTTCCGATTGGCTCCGATTTCATGAAAATTGGTTTAATATCCTATTTTTGGCCAATTTTTAAACTGTAGATGGCTTTGCTGTGAAAAACTATTCAAGTACTGAGAAATTGCTACCATTTTCGCAAATCTAATTTGACCGATCAAGTTTTTTGTTGGAACTATCTGGTAACTTTAAAAGTACTGTTTGTTGAAGTCCACTTGGCTTTAATGTTGTACAATTTGCATTAATATTTTCTTTTCAAAGTTGAAGATAGATGGCTTTTGCTTTCTTGGAAAATTTTGTTGTATAATCATAGTTTAATTTTATGAAGAAAGTTTACTTGTTGTACCTAGACACATAAAGGACTCTCTAGAATTTTACTTGGCTATTTAATTCAATGTATCTGATATCTAGTAAATTTACTAATGAAGTATTATCAGTGATTTTAGTCTATGTTAGAATATTGATTGGAGTGATTTATGGGATTGATTTTAGGAATCCTCCATCAATGTATTTTTCGTATTTATCACTTGTATTCTTTGACCTATAAATAGAGGTGCTCATTGTAAACAATCTTAAGAGAGAATATAATAAGAGTGATGTTGCCCTTTAGACTCTTTGTGCCGTGGATGTAGGCCCCAGTAGTGGTTGAATCATGTTATATCCTTGTGTTCTTCATTTTCTATCTCTCTCTTCAATTTTAACAGGGTATTAGAGCAGGTTTATCATACCCTAGGATCTTCAGATCAATTTGTCTTGCATCTTTGAATCAACTTGTCTCGAATCTCCGGATCAACTTATCTTGGATCTCCGAATCAGCTCGTCTCGGATTTTCAAATCAACTCGTCTTGGACTCTCAACAACTCCGTATTTAGTTTCAAGTCGAACATGAGTTAAAATCTCCGTACACCAAATTGAGAAGAGGGGGGTGGGGTGGGGGGGTTTGTTAGAGAATATTATAGGAGTGATTTTTAGCCTATGATATCGATTGGAGTGATATATGGGATTGATTTTAGGAATCCTCCATCAATGTATTTTCCATATTTATCACTATTCTTTTACCTATAAATAGAGGTGTTCATTGTAAACAAACTTAAGAGAGAATATAATAAGAGTGATGTAGCCCTTTTGGCTCTGTGTCGTGGATGTAGGCCCTAATGGCTGAGTGGGAGGGGCTAATTTGCAGTCGGTAGATACCTGGACTGAGTGCGATGCTTGAAACGCAACTGAAGAAAGCGAAAGAAAGAAACCCCTCCCATTTCCTTGTTGCATTCTCTAATTAGGAGTTGTTTGTGTCTATTACCAGTTCTTCTTCCTAATAGAAGAAATCCCTTCCCGTCCGACGTGACTCTACGCCTGGGTATATCCTTCTGTTCTTCATTTTGTATTTCTCTTCAATTTTGACAAAGGAGAATGATTTGCTCATCAGATTTGTGTACGGCTACAGAATTTGGTATTTGATTGTGTTTTCCACTGTGTATTTGCCGAATCAAATAGGTAGGGTAAGAGTTTCCCTTAGGTTGAAAGACCTTAAATGGCCCGGGCCCTAACGAGGGGATGTTCACGGTCCCAGGGTGAGAGCCCCTTAATCTGGTGGTCCTGGGTGGAAGGTCCTTGAAGACGCATGAGTGTACATAGTGTTGGATGGATTGGATATGATTATGATTGTTTCCAAGTTTCCTACACTTGATAAACTATTTTTAGTTTCTTGAGGTAACGATTTGAGATGCGAATTTCGAAATCACGTTGAATTTTCAGTTGATTTGAAATTCTATAGTTTATTTGGTAATAGGCGATGGCCTAATTTAAGTGTTCAGTAAAATTTTCCAACATTGCTATAATTGTCTCTTTTCCTGCAACTACTAAAGAAAGTTCTCCTCAACATTGTTATATAAAAAAATTTCCGTTTTCATTAAACCTCGGAACCCTACTGGGCTCTTTTGAGCTCAACCCTCTTTCTAAAACTTTTTGAGGTCCTAGCAGCGGTGATGACACAGGAGTGATGTGGTCATGAGGATTATGACTTTTGGGAGAAGTGGCAGTCAGGTGGAGTTGCTATTGTATGTTGGTGCTTGCAGCTACATTTTATTTGTGGGGGATGGTTGTGTAATTATTGGGCAGCATGGTGGAAATTAGTTTATCTTCTATTGTGTGACTTGTACATTTGGTTCTTGGAATACATGTAGACCATGGACTGTAATAAATTAAATGGTGGACAATAAAGAGACTTTGTACTGTTAGCTAGTGTGTTTATCTATGTTATCCTAAGGATGAGAATTACTTAAGATGATAGGTGATTATCTCATGCTCCCGCGGAGAGTGGGGTGTGACATGGTAGTGGGTTAGTTCAGTAATGCTTGTAACAATAATTTAGACCAATACTGCTTGAGCTTGTATTTTCTTTATTTGATGGATTCATTTTGCTCTATTTTTTTTTTTCTTAATTTTTTTGAGCTTTATTTCTAAGATTACTGCATTGCAATGTTGTCAAAGGCGCACCTAGGCTCCAGGATCATATAGGCACAAGACTTGCGCCTGTTGTGCTCAGGTGCACCTTTGACAACATTCAGGCCTTTTATATGGAATATAAATACTTTAATATTATTTTAATTTTTTCCATTGTGCGCCTCACTTCACTCGGGCGTGTGCCTCGCCTTGCGCCTAGGCTCCATAGGACCTCTAGCGCCTTGGGTCTTTGATAACACTGCTGCATTGTATGTTGCCAATATCAACCCATGTCACCATGACTGAGACGTTTCAGGCCCCTAGTCAATAACGTATCTGCATTGTATTATTTTTTTTTGTTTTTTGGGAGAGGCAGCATTTTTTGGAGTACTGCTGAACTGAAATTTCTTACTTTAAAAGAAGAGCTAGAAGCTAGAGGTTTATATAATGTTCCCCAACTAGATTTCTTCCCTTTGACGTCATTTACAGTGGAGAGAGATTGAATGAGTTTATGGTAGGTCATTTGTAGCTGTTTCTGCTTGTTACCTGCTTATGTATTTTATATTGTTCTACTTTCTTGCTATTAATTTTATCTATATTTCTAATCTCTAGTTATAGATTTAAAATAATATTAGTATATGACAATCGTATAATATTTAGCAGTAATATTGTTCACCAACCAACATCCTACTTAACAATGCTTGTCAATTCCTTGCATCTGAGGGACACTGGTATGAGGGTTAAACAATGATATCCAAAAACTATGTTGGTTGGAGTCTTCTTATCCAGTTGTAAATCTTGTAATCCTTTTGTACATTGCATCTAATATAATTTGGTTCTGTTGTTGTGTTCAGGGCGGTATGAAAAGATGGGGAATGAAAGGAATGCCAGCATCTCATGGTGCATCATTATCACATCGAAGTATTGGCTCTACTGGTCAGAGGGATGCTCCTGGGAAGGTTTGTACACCCCTCCTCATATTGGTGAACTTCCATTCAAAATTGAGCAGAATCTGATGCCTAATTGTTGTTGTTTTTTTTAGCTGCTTTTTTATTTATTTATCATCATATAATTCTGTTATAAAAAAAATTTATTGGATTGGCAGTTATATTAAAATTTTCTCTTAATGATGACTTTAAGATACTAGATTATAAGACGCTGTTGGTGCAAATGTCATTTCTTGAAGATTATTATTGGTCTAGCTTGTTTGCTTCTGTAGCCTAACCATTTAAGGATGTTGAATTTCAATTTTATTCATTTATTTTTCTTTTTTATATAATACTCATGTCTAATAATTTTCTAAGAAATAAAGATCCTCATCCAATGGGTACAAGTGCATTATATTCTAGATTTGGATGAACGAGGACGCAACATGTAAAATAATCGGGGGAGACCAAAAGTTTCAATGGGTTAAGGAACAAACAAGAAGATAGTGACTTCTTGTTTTTAGTAAGACCTGAGAAGTCTCTCTTTACTCAGCTTCTGAAATAGAATAATATAATTCCATCACTCAAATCTGCAGAACTGTTAGTTGTAAACTTGTAGCCATGCGAAGAGCTTCTTGTTGCCTTAATGAAGAAAAAGACATCAGTTCCCCAACTTAATGATCACAAAACTAGCACATGAATATTAAACTTAAAAAGACAAATGTTCAATGCATGACATAAAACAAGAGATTGTGATCTTGATAACAATCTATAATGACAATTAAACAACATATATAAGACTCTTATAAAATTGGTCGAATTAATGGGGCCCACTTTCTCTTTTCCATGAACTTTAGATGCCACACACATCAGTCAAGGCGACAGTAATGCATTGTGACAGAGTGGAGGGTGAGGAATGTCTAGTGATATCATATGCAGCTTAAGAGTTTTAAATTTCTTTTGTCATAATGAGTTTGTCTTAACAAAATCATGAACTTTATGAACTTAGTCATGTTTTATGATTAATGTTGCTGGTATACAGATGTTACAATATCACTAAGTAAGAGTTTTTCAGGAGTTTAATTGATTACTTGGGACATAAATTTCGTTTGTCATAATGGGTTTGTCTTGACAAAATCATGAATTTTATAAACTTAGTAATGTTCTATGATTTATGTTGCTGTTATACAGATGTTACAATATCACTATGTAAGAGTTATTTACCTCACTAGAAGAAATGCTACTCCCTCTGTCCCACAGTAAGTGTCCACTTTTTCATTATGGGATGTCCCAATGTAAGTGTCCTTTGAAAAGTCAAATGCGAAATTGAGTCTTACCTAAATTATTCTTAAATTTTGAAAATATTTCTAAATTAGTAATGTATGTTTTTGAGTTAGTGGACTGTTAGACTGTTAGTTAAAGGCCCTATTAGGTCTTGTTGTTTCCGTGGGATGTGTTCCCCTTTTGAATGTTTTTTACTACGTAATACATATTTACTCATCAAAAAAAAAAAAAAAAAAAAAAAAAAAATGGGTTCTGGAATTTTAAAAGGAGACAGTCATTAAGTGCATGTCTCCTTAAAAGGTTGTAGTCCCTAGTGGTGACACTTATTATGGGATGGTGGGAGTATATGTGAGAGGTCACTGACTCACTGTCAGCGTCTAATTGATTGTTATGTCACAGGTAATCTTGTTCTTCATATTTGTTTTCAGGCATTCGTAACCACATTCTATACATTTGAGTCCAATTTCCTTACCTTTGAGGTTTCCATGCGTTTGGATATACTGTGTTCTGAAATCCTCATTCTGGTAATTCTGAGTAGATTTTGTATTGTTCCCGTGGTGTATAAACACAAAAGACTTGTATACGCAGTGTCTTTTGGAAACTTGTGGACATGAACTGTAAAAGATAAGACTACCCTTTTTGGACTTTCCAGGGAAATTATGAGGAACCATCACCCTGCAGTTCCAATATTAGAACTTGACATGTCATTTCTAGTTACTTCTGAATTTGTGAGGAAGAAGAGATGTGCCACCACATCAGTGTAGATGAGGGATGTGTTTTATTTTGGGCATCTATTATGGCTTATATTTGTAATATGTTTTTTGAACAGGTATTTAAAGGCAAAAAGATGCCTGGACGCATGGGGGGGAAGCAACAAACAGTTAAAAATGTCTGGGTTTACAAGATAGATCCTGCGAGGAACTTGATGTGGGTGAAAGGCCAGGTATGTTTTCTAACTTTTAAATATTTTTTTGTACAAGCGCATAATCTGAATTGAAAGGCAGGATCTTGGATGTCGTCTGCCCATGTGAATGTTGTTGTGCAGGCAGTCTAAAAACCAGACATGGGTGATTCTGATTGATTAATAGCTGACCCTTCTGGTTGATATTTTCTATTATGGGAACTTAACCAACTGTCAGACTTATTCTTATATAGTTGAGAAAATCATGAGATGTGTACAGAGGATATTTTGATAATAATAGTTCATACAGATGCGCATGTATCTTTAATGTGCACAATTTGCTCCTTGTTGGTATAAAAAATTGAGTACTTATTCTGAAGGGCATGGTTGAGTACTTTAAATCTAAAATCATCTCGCATTTTGATGTATAAGTCATAGAATGATGAGTCAGATCCAAATCCCCCCATCCCCTCCTTTACTATAAATCCTTGTGAAACTGCTACTCCTTTACAGGTTCCAGGTGCTGAAGGGAACTTTGTGTTCATAAAAGATGCTGTTTACAAGAAATCGGATAGTTCATTACTTCCATTTCCAACATATTTTGCCCCAGAAGATGAGGACACAACAGAGTTGGTACCTCTGGTTGCTGATCTTGGAGAAGCCGATCCATTTATGGCAGCAGATTAATCAGAGGCTATTTCTGAAATCCCCCGAAAAGCTGGTTTCGAATGTTGTTTGGTTAAACTGTCTTGCAACCATTTTTGTCCCTCTTCTGGTCAACAGATGTAGCATGCGGAGGCTTTTGATTTAGCTTATCAGTTATATTTAGTGAAGAACTGCAGATGCAGGGAATGTAATGTCATCATTGAGTTGTATTTGACTTTTTGATTTGAGACAGTCAATCGCATCTCTTACTATTGATCGGTTCATTTACGGATGCGTTCAAATAAATGTGGAAAACTAAAAAATTTTGGTCTGTTCATTATGTAAAGTTGCAGCTTGTTTTGTGAGGTAAGGTTTTGAAGAGCTATTGGAGATTTGCTAGGAAAATAACTCATGTTGGTGTTGGTCTATGAAGTACGGATACGGGACACGGGTATTATATGACACGGATACGGTGACACGGTAAATTTCAAAAAAATAGGACACGGACACGGTGGGGATACGCCTATAAAATTATATATATATGTATATATATAATTATATATTCAAAATATAATTACTAGAACCTTGCACATTCATTTTCCTAATAGCAAACAGGTATATATAAATACAAAATTGCAAAAAAAACAAGAACAAATAACAAGACCAATTTTAAGAAAATCATAGACAAGACAAAATAGAAAATAAATAAAAAATAAAATTGATCCAAATTCCAAATGAAGATGTGTAGAAGAGACATAGCTATAATTAGCTAAATATGTACATGAATAAACATATATACTTTCAGTATTTCACAAAGTCTTGTTCACGTAACTTAAAAAAAAAATAAAAAATGTCGTGTTCATATAGAGAGATAATTGAAGAAGAGGAGAGACTGAGAGAGGAAGTGAAATAAAATAAATTTTCTGTGTAATACTATGTTATCTGTAGTTGTTTTTTTATTTTTTCAAAATTTTACTTTTAAAATTAATAAATTACATTAGGTACTCCATTTATCTTAAAAAAAAAAAAAATTACAAAATATACCCCGCCGTGTCCCCCGTGTGTCCAAGTCGTGTCCACCCCGTGTCCTCCGCGTGTCCGAGCCGTGTCCTCCGCGTGTCCGAGCCGTATCTAATAAAAAATAATTTTTGGACATTTCACAGAAGTGTCGGATACGTATCCGAGTCTCGGACACGGGTGTCGGTGTCCGAAGAGTGTCCGGCACTTGTACGGAACCCCTAGAAGGAGTGTCCGTGCTTCATAGCTGTTGGTTCACTCGTTGGACACGTTATGGCGAAGAGCTATTGGAGCTTTGTTTACCAAAGCGTTGAACAAGAACTAGCAAGTTTATCTCATATACATAAATGAATAGGATTCGCCCTCGAGGATATTTGATTTCTCATGTGTCTGGACATTACCTGTACTGTAATAATTGTATTCACTTATCACTTAATCACTTGGTGTGAGAAAGTTCTCTCCTTTTTGGCATCAAACAAACCAAGCAACAATCCTCATTCGCGCTATGGTGACTCTAGAACACTGTAAAATACCATTAGATCTCAAATGGTCTTATCTCTGACCTATGTTACTGGTTTGGTTTATTGAGAAACATACTAAACTAGGGGTGCATGATGTCAGCCCAGAATTGGGCTCTCATGTAACCCGAAGCCGAAGCCGAATAATTTCGGGCAAGACGGCCTGACAAGATCAAATTTTTTCAAATTTGCAAATTAACGTCTCTGTTTAAAAACATCAAAAAAAAAAAAAAAAATTTCGAGAAAATTTTAATTTTCAATTCATTACTACTCTTTCATTTTCTTTTTGATCTGATCAAATGGTTTGGTATCTTGACTGAAGTATTTAATTATTAATTTTGATGTGTTTCCAACTCTAATTTTATTGTCATTAATACAACAAAAATAAAACTTGTGTTATTTTATTTTAAAATTTAAGGAAATTTCCTTTTGTTTGTTATTAAATAAATTTTTATTTCCAAATTATTCTAAAAGGAAACCCTAAAACAACTTATACATGTATTGATAAGAAAACCCTAACATAAGCCGCTGAAACCAAATCAAAAGATTTTGAGCAAAAGGTTAGAGGGAGAGGGAGAGGGAGAGGGGGAGAGAGAGAGAGGGAGAGAAAAAAAGCGCCATACGGGTCATATAATTTGCAGGCCCTAAGCATGTCCTCCAAGATCTGGAAGGTTTTTTTTTTTTTTTTTGGGAATGTTAAGTAATGTATAAATATGTAGAGTAATTACAATGACAATAATAATAATAATAATAAATAAATAAAAATTAAAAATTTGGAAAGAGTAAAAAAAAAAAAGTAACCCTAACACAAGCTGTCGGCGATTCTTTGATACTCGTTTCTCTCTTTATGCACTCCATTCAGGTTTTCTCTGTGTAATCACACACACATGCGTGCACACACACACACACATATATGTATCATTCCACTTGGGGGGCGTAAAAAAAAAAAAAATTGGAAGTTTTTTATTTTTATTTTTATTTTTTAGGTTTCGGGTTAAACCCGAGACCAACTTGAACACGGCTAGGTTTTGATATAACCCAACCTGATTTGAGCCCGATTTGTGAATTTAGAAGCTCAAGTTCCAAAAATTTTGAGCTGGGTTTGGGTTAGGCGGGGTTGGCCCACCCAAGTTGCAGCCTTACCCCTAATACAACCAGGATACATAGGCAGCCTGTCAGTGGGTGCGATCACGGCAGACATCACGACATGACATCACTAGCAGACCTGGTAACATTTACCCTTTTAGTACAACCCTCCCTAGGTTTTAGTTCAGCATAAGGCTACCACAACATAGATAGGAAATGGGTCAGATTCAGGGTTTGTGTGAGGGGCAGATTAAAGGAAGAATCAAATATCATGTGCCTAGATAGCATAAACAGTAGCAGGACAGGGAGAACATTAAAAAAAAAAAAAAAAAGAAAAAAAAAAATATTTTGCATATAATTCTTTCATTTTATTTACAAAATGATATAAAATGCAGAGAATCGCTTATATGCATGTATAGTGTAGGTGAAAGCTAACTCATAGATCCCGGTACAGGTCCAACACCTCATCCCCGAAGTCCTCATACCAACCCAAGCGCCCCCCCGACAAGGTGTCCTCCCAACTCCCTGATATCCTGCAAGCGGCTGACCACCTCCCGAGCTTTATCCTGTAGGTCGTCCCTCTCTCGAACAACCCCCTCCACCTCAGTCTTCAAAGCACTAATGACTGCACTTAGCTGGGCCTGATGCCTAGCATGCTCCTCAACACATAGAACATAGAGCGCCTCAATAATAGCAGCCACATCCTCAAAGCCTGTTTGCCTAGGAAGAGACTCACTAAATGTTAGATGAGCAGGAACCAGTGGGCACTTGCCCATCATCCCATCAAGCCACCTCTCATAGGCCAAAGAGGACCTCACCATGGATAGCTCCTCAAAGGAAGAGTGTAATGACCTGGTCATTTTCTTCCTTTCCTTTTTTCCTCAGATTTTATGGATAAATTTTTTCTGTTATCTTTTCTCTTCTGTGTTTGGTTTCTCGTCACTTAGTGTCGTCTCGAGTACTTGAAAATGGTTTCCAAGACTCTTTCCTTTGAATTAACAACTTCCTTTAAGGACCAAGTCATTTCTACATTTTTCGTTTTTCGACACTATTCACTTTTCGTCCTTTTCCCTATTTTGTTTTTTCCCCGCTTGTCACTTTTTGGCACAACCTCACTTTTCATGTTCGGAGTTGGTTTTTGACTTCACGTACCTTCATCCTAAGTGGTTTCCACAAAATACGTATCTTTACTTTTATAAGAAAGTACTCTGGTTGCTCCCGGTGTCCATAGGAGCATGGATGTATAGTTCTTTGAAAATATTTTCTTTTCTTGGAGTGTTTTTCGTAAATATCTTTTGAAGATATTTTATTTCAAAGGTTTTTAAGAAAATATTTTTGGAAGATATTTTCATTCTGAGTCATTAGTGTAGTTAACCCTTTTTGGAGGGGCCATTGTGCAATTAATGAAAGTTATTGCAGAAATGCCTCATTTTGAGCCTGGATCATCGTATAGGATTCATTTTCACTTTTTGTCGAGTTGGGTACTCTTAGAATTCCCTTCTGGTCGTTTTCCCACAATTTTAGTGTTTCTGGCTCCAGTTGCCACTGAACTTGTTCGAAGCATATCTTTCTGCTTGGGACTCGGTTTTCGACACTGTTTCTTCTGTTATTCATCTTTTATCATTTTGGATCTTTTTCGTTCATGGAGTTTTGCCGTTTGAGTGCGTTTACTCAAATTCCACTTTTCCGGACCCGACGGGGCCCTTTCAGGGCACTTTTAGGATTTTTCTATAAATAGGAGAAAAATCAGATTTTTCTCTTCTTCTCTCTCTCTTGGCCGGCAGCCATGGAAGCCCATGGGGCTGCCACCTTCTCTCTTTTCTTTTGAGCTCTTTCCTTTTGTTAAAAAGTCATAGTGCCTTTGCGTTTTGTGCTTGTCTTGACGACGTGCATCTTTCCCCCTTATTAGAATCCGTTTTTGGCCAACTTTTGAGTTCAGGATTGAGGTCAAGTTAGGATTTTGGTATGTCTTCCTTGGGGTTTAATGATTACGGTGTTATCCCCGACAAAACCCCGAAATATTATCGGATTCGGAGCGGTTTCATTTTGGTGGCTTTTGAGATTTTCATCTCAAATTGAGGAGGTAGGGGATGTCTTAGGTTCATTTAAATGTTGTATTGATGATTTTAGATACTTATACAACTTGTATACATGCTTTGATTCAAGTTATAGAATTTAATTTAATTATTTTCTATGTTAAAGATTTAATTCTCATGATGATATGTAACTTAGAATTAAATTGTGACATGCAAGAAATTTAGGCCTTGGTATGATTGTTGACATATATTAAATTTGGATCATTTGATTAAGAATTGTAACTTTTATTTAATATTTATCTTTTATGAAAGATTAATTCATATAGTTTTATCAAGCATGAAATCAACTTGTAATGTGATATTAAAGTAGACCTTGTGAGTTCTTTAACATATGTTAATTTGGGAGTATTTGGAGTTGTTTAAAAAATCTAGAGGAAATTAATTAATTAACTTAATTTATTTATTTTAAGTGTTTTAATCACTTAATTAGTTATTTGATGTAATATATGTGATGACCATACTATGTCCTTCAACATATATTAATTTGAGGTTATTTGGAATTGATTTAGAATCTAGAAAATTTAATTATTTTTATTTAATTAAATTCTATCTAATTGCTCCATGGATTTAATAGTGTTTTGGGAGTTGTTTCTACATTTAAATCATGGACTTGGATTTGTTGTATATTCACTTGGTTACGTTTTGAGCATTAG